TAATTGGAATTATGTCTAAACATGAATGCACATTATAAAGTGAGAAAGAGAAGTAAAAAATTTCATACATGGCATGAAATGTGCTATAGCTACAAGCTATTATCTATAGCACCAATAATGGTCTATGCAATGGTCATAGCTACGCCCATGATCCTTTTAGGTATAGCATTGCTTTCAAAGTTTTAACAGAGCTATAGCTATTTAAGCACTAATCATGCCAATTCATCATTGAACAGCGCTGTTACAAGACATAAAATTTGGCAGCTTATGTCTTCAGCTGACAAAAATGCGTAGTCTGAATTGCTTTAGTACTCCCTCTATTTCAAAATTTTGTCCAGAGTATTATTCTATACATGCCGTATCTACAAAGAAGCAGTATTCCACATGCAACCAGATGCAAGATTTGATAGACGTGTAAAAATAAGATATTAAGGCGAACTTTCAGTTGAAATGCAGCAAAAGAGCAATGAAGACCATTCTACTTCAGCCGGCAATAGTTTTAGGCTCAGCCATTATGCTCTTTCAATTAGCCCATCATATGAATACTTTGATCTACCAAAAATAAGAACCGCAAGAAAACAACTCTAATCTAAACCAAGTTTGTCTCCATAGTTTATCCTTCTAAATAAAAAAAAAATCTCCAAACGGCTAACCATTTGCACCAAGAACGAGAGAACTGCAGATGCCATGGAAATGTATTAACTACTCGTATTCACCAAGAAATCATTTAGACACGATATGATATGCAAGTGTACTTGTGCTCAAAAGTCAAAACTTTGGGCAGTAAAACGAGGGAAAGCTAGGAGCATATTCAACACTTCCCCAATATCTTTTCCTATCCCATAAAACTGCCATATCAGGGTCACCCTGCTCCCCCAACCCAACCCCACCCGATATATTGGATCCTATTTAGCGAGTCTCCTAAAATATTAAAAAATAATAATATTGTACTACCCCTCCATATTGGGTGATAGATTCTCCTAGAATATTAAAAAAAAATTGTACTACACCTCCATATTGGGTGATAGATTATTGGGATAGTGCTGGAGATGCTCTATGGCGATGCACGGCCTATGAGTTGCGGGTCAGGGCAGAGCGTCATGAGACGCGACGAGAGGCCCAAGCGACTGGTACGATAAAGACGGAAGACGACGGGGCATTACCTCGCCTGGGGTTTGGGGTTCCGGTTCGGCTGCCCCCGATCTCGTCCTTGCCCCCGCACAAGCAAGTTGGTTTCGGCCCCTTCTTTCCCTTCCTTCGCTGCCGTAGTATCCGGCGCCGCCGTCGAGAATCCGCAGGGTAGGACGGGGCAGGAGATTGGCGGGATTAACTGGGGGCAGGCGGGGGCAATCGACGAAAACTCCTGCCGCGATGCACAGACCGGCCGGCCCGGTGATGCGCCGGGGATCCCGAACGGGGAGCGGAGGAGAAATCACGGTGAGGGCGTGGCACCGCACCGCACCGCTCCCCGCCGGCGTTCCCTAGGTGCCGGATAGGGTTTTCTCGTCGAATTGCGCAACGGGCGGCCGGGTGTTCTCGGGTTGTGGCCTGTGGGCTGTGGGAGGGGCCGAAGCGCGGCGCAAAGCAATCGGGCGCAAGCGCGAGAAGCCCGTGCGGTGGTCGCTGGCCACGCTGGGCTGGAGCCTCGTGCAAGAGAAGCTCGGCCCAGAACGTATTTGAGCCTAATCAAGCCGAGTCGTCGATCCTCCATTTGCCCATTTGCGCGTCCAGTCGCGTGTTGAATGAAGCCATGGAGGAGCTCTGGTCGGCCCGGCTGCAGCTCGATGGCAGTCCGTGGGAGAGAAAGGTGGGCTGTTGGTGGCCCATATATTTTTCTTTATATGTCTCTTTTTCTCTTAAAAATACAATAACTTTCTTGTATGTAGTCTGTGTTCGGTATTATGTTTCTTGCAATAAGATCTATGATATAAGATACATGATAAAAAATTTCAAGAAATATAAGAATGTATTAAATATATAGCAAATTGTGTTGATCGTGCAATTACACTTATAAGTTGACAAATTGCTTGTTCGGGGACAAGGATAGGAAAAACCTAGCCCGGACACGGGGTCGGGGACGGGGACGGGAAACACGGGAAATTTCTTGTGTCAGGAGCATACCATTTTGTCAACCCGTCAGGGATAACACCGTTGCCATCCAAGTTGCATCCTGTTGTCCCTGTTTGCAACAAGGTTCTAGCTATTGGCTCTGTTTGCTTGAGCTTATAAGCCAGAATCAACCCTACTATTTCAGTTATGGAATACTATTTTTCTCTCATAATAAATCAGCCATACAAATCAGCCGTAGCAGCAATAAGTCCTGTCGAACAGAGCCATTGTTTGTCCTTGTTTTGTGGCTTGTGATTTAGGGGCCGTTCGGCTGGTGCAAAAATTGCACTGTTCACGGTTGAAAGTTACTATTCACGACTGATTTTCTCTCACATATTTCTCTAGATTCCTCTAAATTTCTCCAAGCGAACGGGGCCTTAGGATCATTGTAGTGGGTGTGACTATAGTTCCCCCTAATTTACATATGGTTGTGATTATGGTCGATCTAAGGGTTATGATTACGATTCTCTCTAGTTTACAACCTGGTGTGGTTAAAGGCCGTAACATAATGACCAAGCATCGGGACAAGTAGAATCGAATCACAGATGCTTTTTTTTTCTTTCAGCATCGCGCCTCGCACAGTGTGTAAATTGATGTCTAGTCGGGAGAGAGAATGTATCAGCATCGATTTGAAGACACACGGGTACTACGGTAGTCTTTTGCCACTGATCTTTTGCCACTCCAAATAAAGAGCTTTATATATATATGGCCTTAAAAAAAATACATCTTCTTTGTATGACTCTTTATTTTGAACTTACTTTATGGCCTCAAATCGAAATTTTCTTTCTTCTACCGCGGTCAAGTCTGTTAAGGTTTTTTTACTAGTTTGCACATTTGTTGATACGCGAAATGTCTAGATTGCCCTTCTCTGCTCTTTCTGCCAATACCGAGACCGTGCAGCCGGAAAGACACCTAGACCGAACGATGCGGGAGGGGGGCGCCGCCGGGATCTCCGGCCCCAGCCCGGCGCGGCTGCCACCTCCGATCGCCAGCACGGCTCGGCAGTAGAATGGATCGATCTAGTTTGCTTCAGTCTGTTTCGGGCTCCCGAGCAAGCGCCGCCGCGGGCCTCCGCTTCCTCCGCCGCTTGCGCCGTGCCGCGGCCATGAACCTCCGCGACTCCGCAGCTTGCGCCGTGCCGCGGCCACGAACCTCCGCCGCCTCCGCGCGTGACTTTGCCACCTGCCCTGCGCCGCGGCCACAGGCCCCGCATGCCGCGTGCGCCCCCGCCTCTGCTTTGGCTGGGCCACCCGCCGCCTCTGCTTTGGCTGGGCCACCCGCCGGCGGCGCTGCTGCTGTCGTACTGCTGAGTCCATCCGCTACCTTCTCTCAAAGCGCCGGCAAGGCCTGCGCGGCCGCCACGTCCGTCTGCCGTACTGCGTACGCATGCGAGTTCGAAGCGCTTGCAGCTCTGGTGAAAGAGCTCTGCGTACGTACGTGTGCAAGAGGACGCTGGCTTGCTGCCTTGCAGCTCTGGTGCACTCCAAGCGCGGAAGCAGTTTCAAACCACCATGGTTTTTCATTGTCAAAAACAAAAACCACCGTGGTTTTGGTCTGATTTGGGGCACAATCACCCACCAGTTTGGTTCGGTATGAGTATTTTTGGTGGATTAGACTGGTAGCTGCGTTTTCTTGGTTCGAGGTTGGTTTCAGTTTGGATCTGAGCCCATTACCAGCTTTAGAATTTATTTGCGTAATATTTCTTCAAAAGTAGAACATACAAAAAAAAAAAACTTTACATTTTATTTTTTTCATTAGGGGTATAATGGTCATTTTACTTGGACTTAACACTGTCAAATGTCCAAAACGAACGGAAGACTATAGAAGAAAAAAAAATTCGTTTTAGGACTATACATGTAAGTTAAAAAAAGACATACAAGGAGTCTACATTTTTTTCAGAGCCAAACCGGTAAAAAGCTCCCACGTAAAACACATTGTAGTATCCACCGTTCCACACGGAAAGTGACGAAATCAAACCGTGTTGTGTGCAAGACTTCCAAAGCGGTCGTGTCCGGAGTAAAGATGGCAACGGGGCCTCGATACCGATATCCGATGGGTATTTGATCCATTAGAGAACAGGGATTGGATCATATTTTTACCCGCGGGTATCTAAATAGGCAAGAATCCATCCCCGACGGGTATAGCGGGTATGGGAACGTTCCCTGTTTACCCGTCCCCGTTATCCGTTGGGGAACCTGACTATTTGAGCTGTCATGCGAGTATTAGGTCCAAAGAAGCTCAACATAGGTATTTTGGCTAAAATCTGAACAATCATATATGCAGTTTGTGTGTTATAGGAACATAGTTCAATTTTTTCTCACCATCTCCGCCAACAGCACAAGCATGCCTACCTCACGAGCGCTCATGCCCCTCGCTTCCTCAGTTCGGTCTCTCTGCCACCTTTGCTCGTTCTCCTCGCAACCTCACTCCTTCTCCTCGGCATCTCCGAGACTTCGACACTTATACCCGGGTGAAGAAGAAACGTCTCCAAAGTGTCTTTGTTTATCGGGTATGCAGTATCCGTCGGGTATTTGTTACCCGACCGATGTCCGACAGGTATGGAGATGGGCAAAAATCTATACCCAAAACAGTTAACGGAGACGAGAATAGAGACAAGATAAATTCTTCGTAACGGAGAAGAGAACGTTCGCGCGATATCCGACGGCGGGTAAATCCCGTTGCCGTCCATAGTCCCGAGTCGGTCAATGCAATGCGCTCCGCTGCCGGGAATGGCACGGAAATTTCCCCAAAACAGCGAAAATCGCCCGGAAATTTCCCCGTGATAGCCGCGACCAATCCCCCACGGCCGTTGACTCCACCTCCTCACTCTTCTAGTCTCCCTTGGTTCCCCACCAGCTGCGCGCAGCCTCGATCTCCGACCGGCGATCGAGATGGCGGAGGCGGTGGTCGGCTGGCTGGTGTGCCCGATCATCAAGATCGTCGTCGAAAAGGCCGCCTCCGACAGAATGAAGTGGATGGGCGACGGCGTCTCCAAGGCGCTAGAGCGCCTCCGGAACACGCTGCTCCATCTCCAGACCGTGGCGAGCGCCGTCCAGCTGCGGGGCTCCACGGACAGGTGCCGGAATCTCCGTTCGTGGCTGCAGCAGCTCATGGACGCCGTGTACGAAGCCCAAGACGTCCTCGACAACTTCGACGACTCGGTCCCACACCCTGAATCCTCCGCCGTCAGGTTCGGCAAGCGGATCTTGGGCGCCGATGAGCGCGTCAACAGGCTCAAAGACGTCGTCGCGAAGCTGGAGGCCATCGACGCTGGCTCTTCGACGATGCTGTCAGCCACGGAGACCATCGCGGCGGCGTCAGTGTCGCGCCAACCGAGCGGCAGCAACCACACGGGCCCCATGCGCCGGACGAGGACGCCGTGGTCGGGCGCGAGAAGGAGCTGCAAGAGATGGTGTCCTGGCTCGTTCACACGCCCGACGCCGACGCCAAGCCCGTGTCCGTCCCCATCGCCGCGATCTGGGGCCATGGTGGGATGGGGAAGACCACGCTGGCGCAGCTCCTGTTCAAGGATCAGAAGGTAACCTCCGCCTTCGACCTCATGATCTGGATCCGGCCTCCTGGAGAAAGTCTCGTCGCGCAAGTTCCTGCTGGTGATCGACGATGTCTGGATCTGGAACAGGGAGGACATGGACATGACGGGGATTGGATTCCGTGCGATGTGGGACGAGGTGCTGGCACCCCTCAGGCACGGGGAGTCAAGGGGGAGCAAGATTGTGGTTACCACCCGGCAAAAGATTGTGGCGACAACGCTTAAAGCACGCGAGTTCTACTTGGGAGACTTGCCGGACAATGATATCTGGTCTCTGTTCACAAGGTATGCCTTTGGTGACGACAACATTGATAAGCAGTCTCCTGAGCTGCAAGGCATTGGGAGGAAAATCGCTGAAAAGCTCAGGGGCTCACCATTGTTGGCGAAGGCTGTCGGACAGATGCTGGGAGGAAGACGCAGGGAAGACCATTGGAGGAACGTGCTTGAGATGGACGGCTTCGATGAAGTTTCCAAAACATTGGAGTTGTGCTACCAGAATTTACCAGAGCACCTGCAACCATGCTTTGCAATCTGTAGCTTGTTCCCGAAGAACTGGAGGTTCAAGCGCGATAAGCTGGTGAAGATTTGGATGGCCCTTGATTTCATCCAGCCAACTAGTGGGAAGGCCCAATTGGAGGATGTGGGAAGCGAGTACTTTGATCAGCTTGTGGATAAAGCTGGGGGGTCGGAGGTACTATTACATCCACGACCTGATGCATGATTTGGCCGAGAAGATTTCTCGATTCGATTGTGAGAGAGTTGAAGATGCAAAGAAAGAGATCCCCAAGACAATTCGGCACTTATCTGTGTCCGGTGATAGTGGTACAGTGGCGCAGATCAAGAGCCGATGTGACCTGAAAAGACTGCGCACACTACTGATTCTCAAGAACCCTTCCTCTTCGTTGGATCAACTGCCAGGAGATTTTTTCACAGAGCTGAAAGGCCTTCGAGTTCTTAGTTTGGAAGTCTGCAATATCATTCGTCTATCAGAGAGGATTGGAAACCTTAAATACCTCAGATACCTGGCACTTTGCAAATCAATCACCAAGCTTCCACAAGCACTGACAAAGCTATATCGTCTTCAAACCTTTAGTAGTCCTAAGGGGTCTGGCCTTGAGGTCCCGGAAGATATTGTAAACCTGACATGTCTGCGACATTTGGACATGGATTCATCCAAAATCACTGGCATTGGGAAACTGATTCACCTTCAGGGATCAGTTAAGTTCCATGTTAAAAATGAAAAAGGCCATACTTTAGGAGACTTGGATGGTATGAGCAGTCTGCGTAAAGAGCTTCATATAAAGAACCTTGATGTTGTAACGAAGCAAGAAGAAGCCTGCCAGGCTGGATTAAACAAGAAGGAGAATGTTAAGGTACTGGAATTAGAATGGAACTCGACTGGTAAGAGTGTTCCCTCTGTTGAGGCTGAAGTTTTGAATGGTCTTGAGCCGCACCATTATGTTAAAAGGCTTATAATTAGAAGATATCATGATAATAGATCACCAAACTGGCTGAGCACAAGCACCTTCTACTTCAAATACCTGCATTTGATCAACTGTAGAAAACGGGAGGTCCTACCGCCTCTCGGGCAGCTTCCATGTCTCAAGGTTTTGCATTTGAAAGAAATGTGTTCAGTGAAAGAAATCGGCTGTGAATTTTATGGAACCAATCCAATTGCATTTCCATATTTGGAGGAACTTGAATTTGATGATATGCCTCAGTGGGTTGAGTGGACCCAAGAAGAGAAGAGCACTGATATGTTTCCTAAACTCCGCAAGTTGAAGCTTTTGAACTGTCCTGAGTTGATTAAGGTGCCTCAGCTCCCTCTATTCGTGCGGAAGGTCTCAGTAAAAAATACAGGATTTGTTTCACAACTAAAACTATCCTCCTCTTCCTCGTCATCAAAAGCGCACAAGTTTGCATTAGACACGTGCTCTGCCACTGCCTTTACAAATGGCTTAATGCACAAGCAACAACTGGAACCAATTTCTATTTTGACTCTGAGGAACTGTCAAGATGTAAAGTTTGAAGAGCTTCGTGTGTTGACTTCCTTAAAGAGGTTGCAAATATCTCATTCAAGCATAAATGATGAGCAGCTATGCACTTGTTTGAGGGGTTTACAAGTGCTTACCTGGCTGGAGATATCTAATTGCAACAACATCACATGCCTTCCACAGATGGAAAGTTCAGACTGCTTAACGAAACTTCATGAGCTACACATTCAGCAGTGCTCTGAATTTTCCTCTCTACACCCTATGCCAAGTTTTGCGGCACTAGAAAGTATATTGATCGAAAATTGCTCCAAGATCACTGTCAAATCTTTCCCTACCAACTTCAACAGCAACACCACTCTGAGAAAACTGAGCATAATGAATTGTGCTGAGTTGGAGTCATTGCCAAGTGGCTTCCCATCTTCTCTGCAAGTTCTTCATCTAATTGGGTGCAAAGCAAATTTGATGAACCAACTACAACTCAAGGATGGACCAGAATGGGATAAAGTAGCTAGTATTCCCATAAAACAAATCCGTTGATTAGAAGCTTTTTATGCAGATCAACAGGTATAGTATGTACCATTAGGAAGCTTTAGTTGTTTGTTTCATCATTATTGAGAATGTCAGCTTTCTTACGAAATAATATCTGTAACCAGTGAAATGTAGAACTTTGCCCTCTGCAGTCATGAGTTGAGAATGCCATCTTTCTTATAAAATGGTAAATCAATGAGTCACAGCACGGCTGGTGTCTTCTGGATTTATGCTGACAATATCCACCTTCCGTTAAAATATTTTCAGATAAGAAGCTGGCTTCCGTCATAGTGATGCTAACAATTTGTATCTGAAATCCTGTCATGCAGGACAAAGAATACCGAACGAAGCATAGTTGCCAACAGCTTTTCTCAGTTGGAACTGTTGTTTAGTGTTTTGAAACTGTACTGTAATGCACTTGTGTCTGTGTGCCCACATTGACTTAAGTATCATTTCATTTATACTTCTGTCAAAGATGGTGTTGTCACCTTCAGATTTGTAAGCTCTCATATGATGTGAAATGTGATGTCATTTTGCTTACAACTCGTACAGAACCATACTTTTTATTTTCCGAGGGACGCAGGAGAGCTGGTGTCATTTCACTAAGGAAGAAATATCGGGCTACAAGGGGATGGTGAATGGTCAAGAGACCAAAAACCCCAACGACAGCTAATGGGCTACACTGAAAAGGTCAAGCCAAAAACCTCAGCCCACTAAAACCAGTCCCATCACACATGTATCGATGGGCTTCCACATGTTAAACCCTAAATTGTACCCAAATGGTTGAAACTGATGCAGTTTCCTGAGCTGTGAACAACATTATTTATCCATCAGCAAAATGAAATCTGTTCTACTACAATAAACAACAATAGTTATTCTTCTTTCCATTGGAAAAAAAGCTACCTTCTACTAACACTGAAACGGGCATACCCCTAATTCCACACCCCTGACGAAAAAGGACCCAATCACCCAACTAACACTGAAACGGACATGCCCCTAATTCCACACCCCTAACGAAAAGGGACCCAACTATTACTCGGTATATATCTATTCCAAGCCCCATCAAGGGTTTGTTATAGATTAAAAAAATCAATTTCTTTAAAAGCAAGTTGCATTTGCTTCGATTCATAATAGCATTTCTACTGTCTGGGCAGTGAGCCAGTGAGTGCTATTAGATAGGAAATTTGTGAGGGCTCAATAGACCCTTTGTAGTTCATTTTCTGTCTAAACAAGCCTTATCTTCGCTATGAGACACCTCACATTAAGGAGGCACCCTGCTATCCACTATGACCTATGGAAAGCTGAATCCAATGCATAGGATCACATAATAGAATTCACACGCCATCAAAGCAAAACTGCATCCGGAATGTAACCCAAAGTATCATATCTTTACTTTTTTTCTTGTAAGAAAGGAACAATAGTGAATACATCAGTTGACCAAATGGTATTACCGTACAAACGGGAAATAAAAAAGAAAAGAAAAAAATAACAGACTATACATGTTTGTCAGGATACAAAAATGGAGTGCCACCAACCTGGAATCAGCAAACAAACCAACAGGTAACTGTTTAAAGTTCTGAAGGATGTGCACAATCAGATTCTTGATCCACCAAATTGGAGTAATTCTGACACCAAATCACAGCAACGGGTTGAGTTCAAACAAATTCTTGAGCTTGAAGTTGTTGAGTTGCTCTTTCCATGGAGAAAAAACTGCACTTCATGTCTCCTCCTGGGATTGTTTGTAAAGTTTGATTCTGAAGCACACCAGGAAGCTGGTTGCCTAATTAACCAAACAACCTTGCAGGTTAATGCTTTACCCCGTAACACTGTCTCCTAAGAGGAATAGAGTTCAACTCTTATGTGTAGCCTTACACACTAATCAAGGCCTTAATTAACCTTACTCCACACCATGTTTTGGGATGTTTAACTGTAACAAATTTGCTAACTCCGCCAGGATGATTATCATGGAATAGCAATATAGGTATATCACGCACCTCAAGTGGTTTAAGCCTGTATGTACTCTTGGGAAGTTTGTTAGTTATACCACTGAAAGCTAGGTAATGGAGGTGAACCAACTGACTAATGGTTTCAGGTAATTCTGCAATATCAGATTCACTAAGATCCAGGACCCGCAAGTTCTTAAATTTGGCCAAAAGTTTCCTAGGAAAATGACTTGAGGATAATGACGGGCTTCTGAGAACTAACAATGTCCGCAGCCTTCCCAACCTGTATTTGCTCTTGAGCTGTGGTAAATAATCAGTTGAGATAGACAGGTGACGAACTGTTGGTGGAATCACAAAAGGAACGTCCTCATTAATTTTCATGCAATCATGAGCAGAGAAATGCTGCGCCAAAATGTGCATTAGGTCATCCAGGAAGTAATACGTTTGCTGGTCTTTATTTGCAGTCCCAAAGAAGGACCGTGATAGAAGATCATCGAAGTATTTTTGCCCTAAATCTTCCGTCCCTTTCCCTTCGTCTGTTGGTGGTTGAATGAAGCCGAGAGCCATCCACATTTTGACCAAATCAAAGCGATTAAACCTCCAGGTCGTTGGAAATATGCTGCAATATGCAAAGCAGCGCTGGAGGTGACTCGGCAAGTGTTGGTAACTAAGTTGGAGGGAGGAGATAATGATATTATCACTAATTTCTGTGTTCATCAGTGCTCTCCATTTCCTTGTGCTCCTGGTGCTACTTATCATTTGCCCAATAGCTTTAGCAGCTAAAGGTGATCCCTTAACATTTGCAACAATAGCTCCTATAATATCTTGCAAGTCAGGTGGAAAATCCATGGGTTGCCCACCCAAAGCAACTTCCTTCAACAGCAAACAACAATCACTGCTTCTTAACCTGTCAAGAGAAACCACATGACCCGCATTCAGAACCTCAGCTACTAGCTTCATCCGAGTGGTCACCAAGACCTTGCTCCCGATTGCCGCAGATCTAAGTGGCGCCAACACTTTCTTCCACATGCTCCTATTCTCTTTCTCGGTTTTACCCTCATCAATCCAAACATCATCAAGTACCAGGAGGAACCTCTTAGATGCAACCAATTTCTCAAGCTCCACCTGCAAACTATCTAAACTGGCCAGACCATCATCACACAGTGTATCATCTGCACAACCAATGGACTGTAATATCTCCCTGGTGAGCTCGGCCTCATCTGATCTATCCCAGACGCAGATCCAAGCTCTCATATCGAACCGCGCTTCGATTCTCGCATCGTTGTACACGCACTGAGCAACCGTGGTCTTGCCGATGCCTCCATGGCCAACCACCGCAACAACCGGAGCAACCGAACGGCATGTTTCCTCGCAATCATCGACGAGCCTGGCGATAATGGAGTCGCACTCCTCCCCACGCCCGAATACCTTCCGCTCCGCGAGCACGGAGCCGGTTACCCGGTTCGGCGACCGCACACCGCATCCCGCCACGGCGCTGCCCCGGCCGGGTCGCAGCCGCTCCGAATCGTCGCAGGCGCGGTCGAGCCTCTCCGCCAGTCGCCTGAGCTTCTGTCCGGGGCCACGGAACGTGGCGTATACGCAGGCCGAGAGCGGAGGGCCGACCTGGCGGCGGCGGTGGAGCTCGTCTAGGATGTCCTCGGCGTCGGCCACCGCGTCCCTGAGCTCGAAGAACCAGGCGTGCAGGTCGGCAAGCTCAGGATCGCCGGGCGCGAGCCACCTCCAGCGCTCGAGCTCGCGGGCTACGGGCTGGATCCGGAGGAGCGCCGCCGTGAGGGCCCCCAGGGGGTTCCGGGGCCCGGCGGCGGCGCGGGAGAGGGCGCTGGCGCGATCGGCGAGCGCGGCGACGTCCTGCGACACGGGCCACGGCGCGGGGGCAGGCATCGGCGCGAATTGGAGGCTGTGCTGCGACGGATCCCGTGGGTTTGCGCCGGTGAGAGGGTTGGGGATTTTGGGGAATGGGCGGATTCTCCCTTGGTCGTCGCTTTCGTGTGGCTTTGGTTGACCACGCGCAGCTCCCGCTGTAGAGACGTGGTAGAGTCGGCTCGCCAACGGGGGCTTGGGTGGGAAGCCGCGCTGGGCTGAGTCGAGCGCGTTCGCCGTTAGGTCAAGGCACCGTTGAGCGAGAACATACTCCCGTGTACTCTTGAGATTTAGGCCCTGTTTAGTTGGACCTCAAAGTCTAAAAAGTTGCTACAGTATCTTTCTCATCGAATGTTTGCGGTCTGTGTATGGAGCATTAAATGTAGACGAAAAGAAAAACTAATTACACAGTTTGGTGGGAAATTACGAGATGAACGTTTTGAGCCTAATTAGTCCATGTTTGAACACTATTTGCCAAATAAAAACGAAGGTGCTACAGTAGCCCCAAAATCTAAATTTCGTGAACTAAACAAGAGCTTAGGAACCTTAGCTACTGATGCTTGAGTGATTGACAACCTTGCTCGTGAACTAAACGAGCTGTAGAGACCAAAAACAGGCCATCAACTTTGACAGCCTAACGACACTACATTGGGTGTCTGTTTGTTTACTCAAATGAGATTTCGTAGAGTTGCATATAAGTGGAGAATGGAGATCGGTTAAGTGGGCGAAGTGACCCTAAAAAGAAGAGTGTTTAGTTAATTGTATGTATAGATGTAGTAACCTATATGTACAGATGCGATAGCTCTGTAAAAATGTTTATTAGTTGTATGAGCTTATACATATATTATTTATTTGAGACTGACATGTGGGCCAATGTCTTATGCACTACATTCGTCCAGCCATGTTCCCGAGTGAAGCTCAAAATGGTCATCCTAGCAGAGAGATGGAGCTGTATATTTGCATGACAAGCTTCTTTTTGAGCTCATACGCATGAATGAAACCAGGATATGGCAGAAATGGACAACCAAACACGCTCATTTTGAATCTTAGGCTTGGCACAACCGTGCACTTTGAGAAACTATAATATGATCAAGACTTGTAACTAGAGTTAAAACTTGCTCTCTTATGTATCCTTGCAATGGTTGTCATGGCGTGTAAACAGGGGCAGAGGGGAGGGAGGGGCTC